GATTGTTAGGGCGTCCGATCCCTTCGTTTCGATAAAGGAAATTCCTGATTTGTGTATCTCTATATAGAATAGAATTCTAATAGAATAGAGAAAGACTTCTTCCATTTTACATTAACATTATGTTATGTGTAATGTAATAATTATCTTTTTCAGTTGGGAGAGATGGCTGAGTGGACTAAAGCGTCGGATTGCTAATCCGTTGTACGAGTTATTCGTACCGAGGGTTCGAATCCCTCTCTTTCCGTTTTCGTTGGTGACTTGATTTCTTTTTTTCCAATTTTCTTAGGATTTTGTCTATTCCACTTTTAAGAAAATTGGAAAACGAACCTTTATTCTTCACGTCCAGGATTACGCCCCGGATCATTAGATAAGAATCCAAAGATAAAGAGAGAAACAAAAAATATTACTACGGTATAAACGAAGAGTTTCAGGGTAAGCATTACACAATCTCCAAAAGATAAAAAAAAGAGAATAGATCTTCCGTTTTTATACCACATATCCTATTTTTACACCAAACACCAAGAGATGAGGTTTTTCTAGGAAAAAGATTGTCTTTTCATAAAAAAATTTGATTTTGTGTGAGACCCTAAATAGGGTTAGGGTCTTTCCTTGGAAAAAAGATCAAAAATGAGGAAATGAGCATAAGCCGGATTTATGCCGACTATCCAAGAATTTCAGTGTGCGAATCGAGGGTTCACACTCTAAAAATTATCGGATTTTATCAATTTTTCAAATTTTTTCTCGCCGAAATCATGGATTTTTTAGGATATTCTTAAGGATCTTATCGAAAGCTTACAGCAGCTTGCCAAACAAAAGCTAAGAGAAAAAAAAGTACAGGTATGACTGGCATAACATCTACGATTGGATTCAAAAAAGCGTAGGCTTCGGGCAATTTGCCGAAGAAAAAACCACTCGAATGCGGATAAAGGGCAGAATTAATACAAATACAGATCAAACTAAGAATATTAAGCATAACAGGCGTTTTGTTCTTGGAGATAATTGCATTTTAATTGAGTTTTTGATATAAGGAAAAAGGAAGTAAGGTAGACAAAAAACCCTTCTTTTTCTTTGAACCCACTCAATAAAAAATTCTCCAATTCTCAAAAGAGAATAGAAGAAATGATACTTTCATACAATATCTTAATTGAATTCTATGTAATGATCAAGAAATTTTGTTGAATTCTATATCTATAGATAAACATTGGTACTAATATTTATCTATAAATATAGAAATTTTGGGACTGGAGTTGACAAAAAACCAATACCAATATTATTATTTCTTGGTGTAGATTCGAAATTGAAATGGGGCGTCGCCAAGTGGTAAGGCAACGGGTTTTGGTCCCGCTATTCGGAGGTTCGAATCCTTCCGTCCCAGCGTGGATTGGATCCTTTTTTTATGCTTCATTACTCCCTTAGAAAGAAGTAAGGGAGTAGATAAGAGTTAATTTAAATACCATATTTCGTCTTTGACTAATTGGAAATCTATGGAACGATTGAGGTATGGGTGATTTTTCTTATCCCCTTTTTTTTATGACTTATGACAAGAACCGATTATTGAAATATTACTCAATCCCTTGTTAAACAAAATACATATCATGGAATCCTCTAAAATGAGGAAATGTTTCGGTTAGACGGTATGTATCGTTCTATTTCAATGACAAGAGATTTTTGGTTTTTGGAAAACCATTTTTGATCCCTTAAATTATTGAAAATTTCTATTGTATACTGTTAGAATATCTATACCAGTGACAACTCCTCAGTCTATCTGATAATCAGTTTATCTGATAAATAGGAAAATCCTTCCCTGTTTTTTATTTTTATTTTCTTTTTTTTTTTTTTTCAATTATTTCTTATTAACATAATAAGAAGAAAAGAATAAAGATTCAAATCCCAACTTACATCATTTTTTGATACATCTTATGAAAAAAAATGGATTTCGTTCTTCTTTTCTTTGATCTCTTTATCTATTTTAAATGAAATCAGTGATGAATCAATTCAAAAAGAAAGACCTATCTTCCTAGAAGATGAAAGGAAATCCTTATTAGATATTATCCAATTTTTGTCAAATTAATTCAAAATTGAATTCAATATTGTTGAATCAATCCTATTCAGTTTCTTAAAGATGCAGATTCAAGAAGTGATTTGTTTATATATCTCATTATATTCAATATATATTATTAATTAATTAATATTAATGGATCTTAAAGATGCTGTCTTACTAAGACTTTTTTCAGAAAAAATCGTCCCTTATATCATATAAGGAAGACAAAGTCTAGATTACGATGTCTATGGACATTCGAACCAATGACTATTCATGATTCCATGATGGAATTAATTCCATACCGGTTCCAAATTGGATTATTGGAAAATATTATGGTAAAACTTCGTTTGAAACGATGTGGTAGAAAGCAACGTGCGGCTTGAAGGACAGAATCCGTTGTGGATTTTTCGATCCACCATTTTCACTTTATCTGGGAATGAGGATGCTCTTGGCTCGACATTGTTTGTTCTGTTACACTTGAATCCTTCTTTTTGTTGGGTTGGAAATAGTCCACGGTGGAGCTCGAGCCGAAAGGATTAATTCATTTCTGGGGGATAAGTATCTAGGGTTAAATGCCAATCAATCAATTGGAATAACTTCGTAAATCTATCTTAGATAGATAGAAATCAAAAGGATGAAATTCGAGCAAGTTTCGAATTCAAAAACAAAACTTGTTTGAATTGGTTAAACTTTTTCGATTCATTTAAAGTGTATCGCGGGGTGTCCATGGGATTCTTTGATAGAAAGAAATCAAAAAAGGGTATGTTGCTGCCATTTTGAAAGGATTAAGAAGCACCGAAGTAATGTCTAAACCCAATGATTTAAAATAAGGATCGAAAAACAAGGAAACACACTTTTAATTGGTAATTGGATTGAGAATCTCAATAACTAAAACTAAAGAATCCAAATAGAATCTTAAACGAGATAAACAAAAGGGTGTAAAGACCACTCAAGAAATGAAATTGACTCAAGATTTTTCCTTTGAGCTATTTGAGAGTTATACAACTTGAGTTATGAGTACGAATGGTTTCTTTGGATTTTCAGGAAGAAAAAAGCCGGAAATCAGAGTCTAATTTATTTTATAGGCTTATTTCGTCTTTAAGTCATTTAGAATTGCATACATAGACAAAACCTCGAATCAAATCATTTTTTATGGAGCCGTATGAGGAGAAAACTTCCTATACGGTTCTAGGGGGGGTATTGTTCATCTACATCTATCCCAATGAGCCGTCTATCGAATCGTTGCAATTGATGTTCGATCCCGAAGAGAAGGAAAAGATCTTCAAAAAGTGGGCTTTTATGATCCAATAAAGAATCAAACTTATTTCAATGTTCCTGTTATTCTATATTTCCTTGAGAAAGGTGCTCAACCTACAGAAACTGTTCAGAATCTTTTAAAGAAAGCAGAAGTTTTTAATGAACTTCCGTTTAATCAAATGAGATTCAATTAAAGAAATACCGTGGGGGGGTATCGATTTGTATATTATTTTGTATAGTTTTTCTATGCTTTTTTTTTGAGTTACTCCCCTTCCACTGTATTCTTTTCTACTATTTCTATTGACAACAGTGTAGTGAACAAATATAATTCATCATGATAAGTGAACGGGGTCTATTAATTTTCGTACCCTAACTTTATCAATTTTTGAATTATGTATATTTTTTTCCCTTATCTGAGAATTTCTTGCATTTTCATCTAATCAATTCATTTTTATGTTTCGAATTCATTTGAAAATCCGTTTTTTTTTTTAGTGCAGCTGAAATTTTCTTTAATCTATATTTTCTTCGGGTTGCTAACTCAACGGTAGAGTACTCGGCTTTTAAGTGCGACTAGAATCTTTTACACATTTTGATGAAGTTAAAAATTCGTCCATACCTTTGGTATGCTTTAGAAGACCGCGACTGATCCTGAAAGGGAAGAAATAGAAAAAATAGCATGTCGTATTAATAGCGAGTTCTGAGTATATTTCATTTTTTGGATCGGTACAAAACCCTGTTCGAATTCTTGGAGCGAAACAAAATAAAGTTAGGTCGAATGAATAAATGGATAGGGCCCTATGTCTTCAATTTTGAATTAATTAATTATCAGAAAGAAAAAGCAACCAGCTTCGGTTCTTAATTTGAATAATTTCCCGATCTAATTAGACGTTAAAAATGGATTAGTGCCTGGGACGGGAAGGGCTTCTCCCCTCACGAGTGGATTCTATATTTTTAAAATGAATCCTAACTATTGGCATTCTCTATTATGGAATGGAGATGTGTGTGTAAAAGAAACAGTATATTGATAATAAAAGTTTTTTCCGAAATCAAAAGAGCGATTAGGTTTAAAAAATAAAAGATTTCCAAACATCTTCTTATCCTATAACATAGACGAATTAAATGAAATGAATCAAAAAAGAGAGAGTGGAAAATCTGTTGATAAGTTTACCTGTCTGAGCTATCTATTCTTACTAGAATATAGAATACCTTGTTTTGACTATATCGCACTATGTATTATTTGATAACTCAAAAAACCTTCTACCTTTGATTCAAGTAGAAGTTCCAATGGAGAAAATCCAAAGATATTTACAGCTAGAGAGATCTCAACCACATGACTTCCTATATCCACTTATCTTTCAGGAGTATATTTATGGGTTTGCTCATGATCATGGTTTGAGTAGATCTATTTTTTCAGAAAATCGGGGTTATGGGAATAAATCCAGTTTACTAATTGTGAAACGGTTAATTATTCGAATGTGTCAATTTCTTATTTATCCTAATGATTCTAACAAAGATCCTTTTTTGGCGCGCAACAAGAATTTATATTCTCAAATTCTATCCGAGGGGTTTGCTTTGATTGTGGAAATTCCATTTTCTCTACAATTCATATCTTGTCTAGAAGGGAAAAAAATAGTCAAATTTCAGAATTTAGGATCACTTCATTCGATATTTCCCTTTTTAGAAGACAATTTTTCACATTTAT